TGTTTTAAAGAGTCAAATTCAGCAGCATTCATGCATTCACACTGTTGTGCAAACACCACCTCAAGCAAGCTCCAGAACTCGTTCATCTTCCCAGATGGAGACCCATCAGCACCAGTCCATTCCCTCCACCTTCAGACCCTGGAAGCCACCAATCCACTTCATCTCCTGGATTTCCCTGCTCTAGACACTTTACACCAGTGCAAGCTTTTTATATATATGCAGTCACTTAGCGCCATGTTTCTGAGGCTCACCCATGCCGTAATGTGTAAGGGAGCTCCACCCTCTTTCCGGCTGCACAGTATTCCATCGCACTGGCACTGCGGCCTGTCGACCTGTTCCTCGGTCCAAGGACACTTGGGTTTTTCCACCTTCTAGCTCCTGTGAATAACGCTGCTGTGAACACTCATGTCCGAGTTTTTGCTCGGATGCCTGACTTCATTTCTGGCGGTGCATCCTCAGGTGTGGAACGACACAATGCTATGGCAACCATTTAGCTTTGCAAGGAATCTCCAGACCATTTCCCACAGCAGCTGCACCACTTCACACTCCCACCAGGAATGTGTGCCGAGCGGGTGCTGTTTCAAGCTTCTAAGTTTCTGGTAAGTAGAAAACAGAAAACGAACACAGAGACTGGCCAGAGGGCTGCAAACAGGAGGCAGGGTGGCGGCAGGGTGGCAGCAGGGTGGCGGCAGGGTGGCAGCAGGGTGGCGGCAGGGGAGCGGTGCAGGGGTGGCAGGAGGGCGGCAAGCTGGCGGCAGGGCTCTCCTCCCTGGCCTCTCAGCCCAGCTCCCAAACTCTAGGTAGCCTCAACCCCTCCTCCCAGCCTCAGCCCCAACTCCTGGCCTCAGCTCCCAGCCTCAGCCCCAGCTCCCTGCTTTAGCTCGAGTGGCCTCAGCCCTACCTCCTGGCCTCAGCTCCAGTAGCCTCAGTCCCAGCTCCTGGCCTCAGCTCCAGCTCCTGGCCTCAGCTCCCAGCCTCAGCTCTAGCTCCTGGCCTCAGCTCCAGTGGCCTCAGTCCCAGCTCCTGGCCTCAACTCCAGCTCCTGGCCTCACCTCCCAGCCTCAGCTCCGGCTCCTGGCTTCAGCTCCAGTGGCCTCAGCCTCAGCTCCCAACCTCAGCTCCTGTTCCCAGCTCCTGCTCCCAGCTCCAGCTCCAGTGGCCTCAGCTCTTGCTCTCAGCCTCAGCTCCCAACCTCACCTCCAGCTTGCAGATAGATTCAGAAAGGCCCCAGGGCCCAACAGCAATGCCCCAAAACCATGCAGCTGTAGGGGGTCTGATTGGCAGGCCCCAGGAGGACTACAGGTGGGGTGGAGGCCTAAGCCCCCCACTCAGCTAAGTGGGGCATACCCCAGGGCAGGAAGGACACCTGGACGCCCACATCCAGGCATTGAGAAGGGCAGAAGCCTGGAAAATGTGAGCGAGAGGGTGCGCAGGCACCAGACGTCTGATGAAGCCAAGGGCCTGCTATACCCCTGTGCTGGGGGAACAGTGCCTCCCAAATTCAGGTCCCCTGGAACCCAGGAAGGTAACTTTATTTGGAAATAAGTCTTTGCAGCTGTGATTAGTGAAGAATGAGATGAAGTCATCCTGGAGTAGAGGCCCTCGCCCTAGCAGGTGTCCTTCGAGAAGAGAAGGGGAGACAGCCTCACGACAGAGGCAGGGCTGGCACAACGCGCCCACAAGCCAAGGAACCCCAAGGAGTGCCCGTGACACCAGCAGTCGGGCAGGGAGGGCTTAGGACCAAGAGCGACCACAGCCCTCACAGGCTGACCTGACTTCCAGCCCCCAGCACTCCTGCAGCTTTAAGCCCCCTCGTCTGTGGGACACTCATCCCCCTCTAAAGGCCCAGCCGTGATGGGAGGGGAGTGTGAGGCTGTAGCCCTGGGGAAAGCTGTCCTTGTTCTTCCAGAGACGAGGACCTGGGGACCCCCTTGTGGGACACTCGGCTCCGCCTAGACCACCTGGGCTTGTCCATTTCCTCTTGGCAAGTCCCTCGGTGTTTACTTTCTCCCAGTCCAGGGAAACTCCACACTCAGAACCTCGGGACTCAGGTCAGGAGAATATTCCCCCCGTGGCCAACCGCGGGCACGGGGAGGAAGTGAACCTGACCTTTCTCAGATCCAAGGGTCCCTGAGCTCATGCAGCCCAGCAGGGGAAGGGAGGAAGGTGGCTCTGCCTTGCTCCTGACCTGAGACACCAAGGCCACAGATCACCTGCCCTGGGGCCTTCCCAGGCCTCGCGGTCCTGGGCTTCAGGGCTGCCCTTGGTTTGTACTTGGCCAGTCTTTGGTTGGGTTGGGCATATTGGTAGGAGGTGTGGGGGGGGTCCCAGGCAGAAACCTACAAGAAACCTGTGGTCACCAGACCTTGGCACCTGTCATCAGGTCACATCTGATTTGCTCGGCCCCATGGCAGAGTCCAGATGAAAATGTCGGCTGGGCATGGTGGCTCATGCCTATAATCCCAGCACTTTGGGAGAACGAGGCAGGAGTATCACTTAAGGCCAGGAGTTCGAAATCAGCCTGGCCATCATGGTGAAACCCCATCTCTACTGAAAATACAAAGATTAGCTGGGCATGGTGGTGCGTACCTGTAGTCCCAGGTACTCAGGAGGCTGAGGCACAAGAATTGCTTGAACCTGGGAGGTGGAGGTTGCAGCGAGCCGAGATTGCGCAACTGCACTCCAGCCTGGGCGATAGAGCAAGACTCTGTCTCAAAAAACAGAAAGAAAAGGAAGAGAAGAGAAAAGAAGAGAAGAGAAGAGAAGAGGAGAAAAGAAAATGCCTCCCTCCTGGGACAGAGTCTCTGTGAAATGCAGCCTCTTCCCTAAACTACACACACGCACGCGTGCACAGACACACACATACACACACACAGCAATGGCCGCCCTGCAGACAGCCAGGCCTCAGAAGTCTGGACGTCCGCGGGGCAGAGAGGCGGGGGCGGGCCAGTGCCCCATGCACAGCCCCCACCTGTATTTCCCCTTTCCCAGAACCAGATGGGGCAGGGGAAGTGGGGTGGGGGTTTCAGTTCCTCTTGACCTCATCAAGACACTGTTGTCTAGAACCTTCTTTCTGCCCATCATGGTAATCGGAGATGCCGCTAACCAGCTCCCACCTCTGCCTGCCCACTTCATGCCTGCCATCCTTGGCATCCTTACTTAAAAAAAAAAGCTCTCCATTTTTGCAGGAAACCCAAATGAAGCCTGAGTCCCCCATGAGGGACCCGGGGTCTGACACAGACAGACTGTTCTGGCTGGAGTCCAGCTCCTGGACCGACTGGGTCTCCCTGCTCTGCGTTGGTTCGCATGGTGAGACGGCGCCGATCAGAACCCCAAAACACCTGACCCCGAACACCATCGTCCCAAATCCTGAACTCCTGAAAGATCAAAATCTAATATTTTGGTGTCCTGACCAGTTTCTCTGCGAATGGTTCATCTGCGTGTTAACTCATAGCCACGTGACTAAGTGAGCACACCTGTGCCTTTGTGCCGGAGAAAATGTTAGGATTGCCGACTTTATTGGGTAAAGTGGTCTATGAAGGGTTCTGCCGTGTTTTTCATTTTCTCAAATAAATCTCCCTTAAAAATGTAAATAAATAAGTGCCTTTTATTTATTTATTTATTGAGATGGAGTCTCACTCTGTCACCCAGGCTGGAGTGCAATGGCGTGATCTCAGCTCACTGCAACCTCCACCTCCCAGGTTCAAGCGATTCTCCTGCCTCAGCTTCCCTAGTAACTGGGACTACAGGTGCCCGCCACCACTCCCAGCTGATTTTTTGTATTTTTAGTAGAGACGGGGTTTCACCATGTTGGCCAGGATGGTCTCGATCTCCTGACCTCGTGATCCGCCTGCCTTGGCCTCCCAAAGTGCTGGGATTACAGGCGTGAGCCACCACGCCCAGCCAAATAAATGTTTTTTACAGAATGTTTTCTAATTACTTTTTCCAGAATTACAGTTTTGGGATTTTGATCTTTCAGGACGTCAGCAGTCAGAACTGTGTCCTGGGATCGTGGCCCAGACCCACAGGGCGGGGGGCGTGCACTTTCCAGGATTCTGAAGATGACTCAACGGGGTGCCCAACCTGCTGGTAAGGACTCAGGAGACCTTGCCTGTCCTCGTCACACTCGTGGAAGGGGACTCTGGATCCCTGGTGTAGCCGGTCTGGGAACTGGGGAGGGATGGGCAGTGCCCAGTGTAGGGTGCAAGCTCCAACACCCACATTAGCACATGTCTGTTGCTGTGAGATTTTATCCCGTGGACATCTGTGCTGTGACACACACCTTCCCACTACTGTCACAGGAGTGATATCCTTCTGATTCTAACATCAGTGTGTGCACATTTTGGGAAAACCAGCAAGTACAGAAGAAGAATTTAGGCTGGGCCCAGTGGCTCCCACCTGTAATCCCAGCACTTTGGGAAGTCAAGGCAGGAGGCTCGCTTGAGACCAGGAGTTTGAGGTCAGCCCGGGCAACACAGTGAGACCTCGTCTCTATTTAAGAAAGAAGAAGACCACTGGTCCTCCCAGTGTTTAAAAGATTTTTCCATTAGAACAGGAGGGATCATAATGAGCGGCCTAACAAAGACATTTAAATGCACGCCAAGAAGGGGCACGGTCTGGAGTCCTGAGATGTGGTAAAATAGGAACCTGCGCTTGTTTTCCCACCCTGGGCACCCTGCGTGGACAGGCTGGCCGGTGCCAGGGTGAGCAGGGCAGGCTGAGGTCACCAGTGGGTGGGGACAGGTTGGGGGGTAGCAATTCAGTGACCTTGTCCAGGACTGGGTCCCTGGCAGAAGGTGGAGTCAGCCAGGGGTGGGGGTGGTGGCTGTGGATTCCGTTATCCGGTCTATAGGGGGTCCCCCTACCGAAGCCCTAACCCTCCCCCCTTCACCACCCCTGCAATGATCTCCTGGCCCAGGCTGCTGCCTCCAGCAGCTCCCCAGCCCCCAGGACGGTCCTTCAGGACCTTAGGGGGAGTCCCGTCTACAAGGACGGCTCACCAGTCTCCTGCCACAGCCGGTGAGGATGGGGTCCTGCATCCGAAGTGGTGTGTGCCCAGTGTGGTGTCCCTGGCAGGCTGGGAGGGTGCCCCTGGCTGCCAGTTAGTGAGGCTGGGTTAGCGCAAGGGCGACGTGCTTGGATTCCGGGGGTGAATGCCTAACCCCAGCGTCCCATCTTGTTGGGGCTCTTCCACCTGGAGGCAGCTCCTCCACCTGGCTCTGCCTCCGTCTCTGCAGCCCTGAGGCAGGGGCCACGGCTGACCCAGCTGGAGAACGCCCCGCTGGCCCAGTCAGTGCGGTGTCCTCTGCCTGATAGCTTCTCTTGTCAGGGAGGGCTCCCCCGCGCCCGGGCTCTGTGCCAGCCAGAGGTTCTGCGGGAGCTGCTCACTTCCTCCCGCCGGCCGAGGCAGCCTGGGGGCAGCTCCGACCTGGAGAAACCAAAATCAGGGCAAGTCCCCGGCTGCTTCCCTGGAAAGCCCCAGCGGAGTCCCCGCTCCTTCCCGCCGGTTCTCAGGGTGCTTTATTTCAGAAGGGGATTTCTTCCTCCTGAGAATCTGATGGCCACACGGTGTCTGTCACATGTCCACGTCGGGCCCTCCTGGCTGTCACCAACTTGTCCAACTGTCAGAGGGTGTCTGAACCAGAGCGACTCTGTCTTGAATAGGCGCTGGGTGGAATGAGGCTGCGGCCTGCTGGGCTGTGTTCCCAGAAGGTTAAGGCATCCTTAGTCACAGGACAGGAGGTCGGCATAAGATACAAGTCACAAAGACCTTGCTGATAAAGCAGGTTGCAGGAAAGAAGCTGGTCAAATTCCACCAAAACCAAGATGGTGACTAGAGTGACCTCTCGTCATCCTTTCTACTCATTATACACAAATTCTAATGCATTCACTGCTAAGAGACACTCCCGCCAGCGCCATGACCGTCCAAAAATGCCATGGCAACGTCCAAAAGTTACCCTACGTGGTCTAAAAAGGAGAGGAAGCCTCAGTTCCGAGAATTGACCAACCCTCTCCCAGAAAACTCGTAAATAATCCATTCATTGTTTACCACATAATCAAGAAATGACCAAAATAAGCATAAAGATACTCCGCTGAGCAGCCCAGGCCTCCGCGCCGCCTGGGGAGTAGCCATTCTTTATGCCTTTACTTTATTAATCGACTTCTCACTTGACATTCCAGACTCGCCCTGAACGCCTTCCTGTGCAAGGTCCAAGAAGCCTCTCTTGGCGTCTGGATCAGGACTCCTTTCTGGTAACACAACCACACAGAGACGTCTCCAGGGGGTGGGCGGGTCCACCGAGCAGGCTCTACATGCAGAGGCCGGGTCCCACGCCACACACTCACCACCAGGGGCCGGGCCACCTACACCACCCTGGCGGCTCCCTCACACCCCCATGCTCCAGCACAGAAGGCTGCCCTGGGCCAGCTCTCTATGCTGCCTCGATTTCCCCCTTTCTAGGTCTTGCTTGGGATGAAGGTCACGGCACACCAGATGTCTGCACACACCAGGGCAGAGCGGGGCCGCCTGGAGCCGCTTCCCACCAACCAGGGCTGCAGCCAGGCAGGGTGGGAATGCAGGCTGTGGGGAGATGGAGGTCAAGTCCCAGAACACGGCCGTGTCCCGGGCTCCTGGCTGGTGGGGCCTGGTCCCTGGCTGGGAGAGGCAGGACCCAGGGCTGTCTGCAGGGAACAGCCGGGTGGCCTTGGGGGCCACAGGGTCCCCCAGGCCTCAGCTGTGGTCTCTGCTCTGTCTTCCTCAGAAGAAGCCTGCTGTTGGCCACTTCGCTTTCATTCCACCAGCACAGAAGGAACACCCGCTCTCGGGCAATCCCTGCCCCCTGGAGCTAAGGTTCTGGAGAGAGACGAGACCGGGAGGCAGGCAGTGCCCGTGTGTGCGGGGGCAGGAAGCCTCAGCGAGCATATGGCCGAGCAGATCTCGGGAAGAGCTTTCCAGGCAGAACTGTCCGTGCAAAGGCCCTGGGGCAGAAGTGCTCAGACACACCAGGGGGCTGAGGGCAGAGGTCTGGGGTCAAGCTGGGGCTGGAGGGTGGGAGGGGCCCCTGGGAGGGGGTGTCCTGGCTCCTGGCGGCTCTTCCAGGGCAGGGACCTGGGCCGCTCCACTTTCACACGCCCGGGGTTTCCCCAGGAACCTTCTCTGTGGCAAGAAGCCTGTCCTGGAAAGTCCCAGACCACAGGTCAACGAGGAAAAGTCAGCTCCGGGCTACGGCCGGGCCAGGCCTGTGCCCTGTGGTGCTCCCAAGGCCGGGACCAGCGACCCTGCATCCTGCTCCAGCCCCTCTGTGGTGCGGGAGGTTGGGGGCTGCCCTCCCAGGAAGCACCACTGAGGCCTCGGCTCTCAGGCTGCCCACAGGCCTCTCCCGCTGAGGCAGCGGGGACAGCAGCGCCACAGCTGCAGCCCCCGTTTACCCCCTACCCAAGCCCTCTGCCCTTAGGCGTGCAGCCACCCCCAAGAGTGCCAGGCTTGGGGTCCTCGGTGTGGAGCCAAGGGGCCCGGGCAGGGCAGACGTGGGAAACTGGAGTCCAGGGAGGAGCAGGCCGGGAGGGTGAGAGGTGGCCTGGGCACTAGTGGCCCTCTGGGAAGTGACCTTTACTCTGAGGGTGAGAGGAGAGGCTGGGAACAGACAGGGCAGTGAGCAGGGAGGCAGAGGTGGCAGAGATGCGCAGGAGCAGGAGAACTGGGCAGAGCACCTGACCCGCTCCATTCCCTCCTGGCACAGCCTGCCTTCCTCCTCCAGGCACAAGACAGTTGACCAACGCCTCCCGGGGCAAAGTCCCCAGGTGAAGAGCGGCTGCTCTAAGCTTTAACCTCCAGGTTATCACAAACCCAGGGAGGGGAAGGAGGGACAAGCGGTTATAAAAGACGGTGGGGCCGTGGGATCGGACAAACCTCGCTGGCAGGACACCCTCCCAACAGTCAGTGCCACTCGAACAAGCTGGGGCACGATTCCAGAAAGGCGAGGCGGGAACTGAGTGAGGGCACCTGGGACATCCAAACGCGAGAGGGAGGCCAGATGCCGTGTGGAGTTTTCCGAAGGCGTTGATGTTATTGCAGCTACGCGGGGAGCGTCTGCATTCCCAGAAAGTCCCAGCCGGGCTGATTGATGTTTTTAGGGCCAGTGTTCAAATGTCTGCAACTTGTGTTCAAAAATGGTGCATGAAAAAATAATGCGAATGGAACATGGATCCTGAAAGAGGTTGGGTGACTTTCACGTGTCTCCTGAGGGGACGGGCTGGGCGTCCACACTCTTATTCTTTACACTTTTCTACGTACGTCACAGTTTTCACAACACACACACATCGGGATGGCTATTATCAAAATACAGAAAATCACAAGTGCTGGCAAGGATGTGGAGAAACCAGACCCCTCGTGTACTGCTGGCAGGAATGTAGAACAGTGCTGCCACCGTGGGAAGCCGGAAGGCAGTCCCTAAAACAATTAAAATAGAATTGCCAGGCCAGGGGCAGTGGCTGACACCTGTTATCCCAGCACTTTGGGGGGCTGAGGCAGGAGGATCACTTGAAGTCAGGGGTTCACAACCAGCCAGGGCAAAATGGCAAGACTCTGTCTCTACAAAAAAATGAAAAACGTAACCAGCCATGGTGATGGCCACCGGTAGTCCCAGCTACTTGGGAGGCTGAGCTGGGAGGCTTGCTTGAGCCCAGGAGACGGAGGTTCCCATGAGCTATGATCATGCCGCCGCACTTTAGCTGAATTCTTCAGTAAAAATAAAAACTTCGGTCACATTGGTGTATACTGTCTTATCCTGTGCCCCTTAAGAAAGGTTTGATTCCCTAATTCCTTTTTATACACTAGGGTTTTTTCAAAAGTGTTTGCAGGGTTAGATCCCCTCCCTCATCTCCACACCGTGGGTAACTGGGTACAATTCTGCCCTCATGCATCAGACACGCTCCTGGTTCTCTTGATTCAGATCTGTCACTACGGACAGACCAAGCTTCCCGGATGCCAGTGGTGGTGGCAGAGCTGACAGCACTCCCTGCAGCAGGACGACTGAGGAGACGGCCTGCTCCATAACGTCAAAGTGGCCTCTGGGTCCTCGTCCCAGGGCAGAAACAGACTCTTAGGTGTGAACGGAAAACAGAGGATTATTAAAATTGTCACCTAATGCAAAAGCCCTGCTATACCCTTAGGTGGCCAAAGCTGATTTCTTACCCATCCACGACTGCAAAGGGAATCAGTCTTTGTTGGGGTCGAAGAGCATGAACCCTCTTTACAATGGATAGTGTTGGCCAGGCACAGTGGCTCATGCCTATAATCCCAGCACTTTGGGAGGCCGAGGCAGGCAGATCACCTGAGGTCAGGGGTTCAAGATCAGCCTGGCCAATAGAGTGAAACTCCGTCTCTACTACAAATACAAAAATTAGCCAGGCGTGGTGGCAGGTGACTGTAGTCCCAGCTACTCAGGAGGCTGAGACAGGAGAATTGCTTGAACCTGGGAGTAGGAGCTTGCAGTGAGCCAAGATCGCACCACTGAACTCCAGCCTAGGTGTCAAAGCGAGACATCGTCTCAAAAACAAAACAAAACAAACAAAACAAGATGAATCGTGTCCACGTCTGCACCACCACACATCCATCAATCAAACAGGTGGAAATGTGCAGACTTCCCCACGCTCAATGTGCTCTTTCCAATGTCGCCGTTCGCGATCTGTGGATGTCCCTAAATGGCCTAAGAAGTTTCCATTAGAAGAAATTAGAGATACTGTAGTTTTAAGTCATTGAGCAATCACTTACTTATTATTACTAATTACAAGTCACTGATTTCTTAGACAGAAATGAACATTTTATGCGCACAAAGATAGTATCATAAGGGGTGTGGCGTCTTGCCATTGGAAACTGGGCATAAGGTCATTTGTCCTACAGTTTCTCTTTTACTGAAAGACGGTGTGGATCCTAGTTTCTCGTGTACTGAAAGGCGGTGTGGATCCCACAGTTTCTCGTGTACTGAAAGGCGGTGTGGATCCTAGTTTCTCGTGTACTGAAAGGCGGTGTGGAGCAGCACAAGGAGCTTGCGCATTGCAATGAGAAGACATGACTGT